GCCCTTTATTGAGGACTGACCATTTGTCCTTAGTAAGGGGGAGGTCTGGGGGAATGGTGAAGACTCGGCAGGGCTGGGTGCTACTGTCTCCTCTGGAGCTGCTGGCTGTGGAGGCTGTGGGCGGAGCGACATCGGCGTCGGCTGTGGCAGAGTTGTGTCGGCGTCGGCTGTGGGCGGAGTTGCGTCGGCGTCAGCGGTGGGTGGAGTTGCGTCGGCAGTGGGCAGAGTTGCATCAGCGTCGGCGGTGGGCGGAGTTGCGTCCGCGTCGGTGATGGGCGGAGCGGCGTCGGTGGTTGGGGGAGCGGGGTAGGCGGCGGCAGCAACGGTGACGGTAGGTGCGACTTCAGTGTCTGTGGTGTTGGTCTCGGAAATGGAGGCGGTGGCATCTGCAGCGATGGCGTTCGCTGTCCCAGAAGTGGGGTACCCGGCGGTGGCGGATGTGACGTCATCTGTGGGTTCTCTGACAGTAGCCTCATGGCCAATGACAGCGGGCACATTGTGGGGAAGGTCCTGGGTAGGGTTGGGGATTTGGGGGGTGGAGGAAGCCCGTTTTGGGTGGTAGGCACCAGTAAGTTTACTGTACTTACGGTTTTTAGTGTCCAATAAAGCTGAGTAGAATTGTGAGTTCAGGTTGTGGATCCTACGAAGAATAAAAAACAGGAGAGGTCCTTTGCAGGTCTGGGAGAGGGAGGCTCTGAGCTGGGGTAGGCTTGATTGTAGTGCCTGGAGATGCCAGCGCATTGCTGCGAGTGTGTGTTTCAGGAGTCGCAGGGAGAAACGCTTCTGAAGGATCTCAATGCTATGAATGTAGATATTGTCACGGTTGGGGCCAAATTGGGAAGGCTTGAACGTGGATTGTAGTCCATTGGGGATGATCTGGTTCCGTAGGCAGGTACTAAGAAAGGTGATGTGGCTGTAATACCTGGTTTGCTTCAGGACATGGTCGAGCAGTTTCAAGGCTGAAGAGATTACGAGAGAGTTGCAGTGGGAGAGAGATCTCCTGAGGTTTGTCCGGAGGGAGGAGGGTAACTTCTTCAGGCTAGGCATCCTTAGAAGAGGCTTCGCAGTGGGGTTAAAATTGAATCAGAGATAGTAGGAACTGCAGATGCTGGAGAATCCGAGACAACAAGGTGCAGAGCTGGATGAACACAGCAGACCAAGCAGCATCATAGGAGCAGAAAGGCTGACGTTTCGGGCCTAGACCCTTCATCAGAAATGGGGGAGGGGAAGGGGGTTGTGAAGTAAATAGGGAGAGAGGGGGAGGCGGATTGAAGATGGATAGAGGAGAGGATAGGTGGAGAGGAAACAGACAGGTCGAAGAGGCGGGGATGGAGCCAGTAAAGGTGAGTGTAGGTGGGGAGTTAGGGATCAGAAATGGGGGAGGGGAAGGGGGTGTGGCAGCATCTGAGTTCTGATGAACAGTCACAGGATTCAAAACATTGACTTTGCTTTCTTCACATAGGTACTGCCAAACCTGCTGAGTTTCACCAGCAATTTATGTTTTTGTTTCAGATCTCAAGTATTCTGAGTTCTTTGTTTAATTTTAGGGGATTACTAATGACCCTAGTTTTAGAATCATATCCCAGAAACAGGTACAAGTAGTCACCTGTGCTATCCTGACCTCTTTAATCAGAAGAGCGATATGTAACAGTGAAAAGTTGTTGACCACACACAACTTTTCTTCATATTTATTAAAAACTTTGCCCAAGTCATTTACATCTGCATTTGCAAATTCCCAATTGTCAATCATTTGTCATTTGCATGCTGCGCAACTTCTACACGTGTCTCTCTAAACAATCAGTTGCTCACCTCCACATCAGATTTGATTTGAATTATTGTTGTCGTATGTACCTAAGCACAGTGAAACGTTTTGTTTTGCATGCAGTACAGGCAGATCATAACATACAGACATACAATCATACAGTGTTTAAACTGAGCAAGGCATACACGATTATGGCTGCACAGGAGGTGCTCAAAAGCAAGATCAACATTAGATTTGAAATTTGAGAGGTCCATTCAGCAGTCTATTAACAGCAGGGAAGAAGCTGTTCTCGAACCTGTGGTACATGTATTTAAGCTTTTGTATTTTCTGCCTAATGGAAGAGGTTGGAAGAGAGTATAAGCAGGATGGGAGGGGTCTTAGATGATGTTAGCTGCCTTTCCGTGGCAATGAGAAGTGTAGATGGAGTCCATGGATGGGAGGTTGGCTTGCGTGATGGTCTGGGCTGTGGAGGTTCTTACGGTCCTTGGCAGAGCAGTTGCTGTACCAAGTCGTGATGCACCCAGTCAGAATGCTTTCTTTGGTGCATCTGTAAAATTTGGTGAAGGTCCTTATGGACATGCCAAATTACATTAGCCTCCTGATGCCTTTGTTCCCGACAAAACCCTTAACTCTTCCACATCCTGGTCACTGCTTCTAATATAGCTCACCAGCAGGGAATTGGTTATGGAGTAGGAAACAGACACTAGTCGTAATAGATATGTACTCCAATTTGTAGGACATGGCTAATGTTCCCTCAAAGCTGTTTACTCCATTTGATATCAAGAAACATTGGAGGCACTGGATACTACAAAGGTATGGGCCCGGACGACATTCTGGCAATAGTACTGAAGATGTGTTCCAGAACTTGCCGCTCCCCAGCCAAGCTGTTCCAGCACAGTTACAACACTGGTATCTGACCGACAATGTGGGAAATTGCCCAAATATGTCCTGCACATAAAATGCAGGACAAATCCAACCTGGCCAATTACCAGTAAAGTGATGGAAGGTATTATCAACAGCTATCAAGCAGCATCTGCTCAGCAATAACCTGCTCAGTGACGCCCAGGGCCACTCAGCTCTTAACCTCATTACAGCCTTGGTTCAAACATGGACAAAAGAGTTGAATTCTAGAGGTGAGGTGAGAGTACCAGCCCTTGACATCAAAGCTGCATTTGACAGAGTGTAGCATCACAGAGCCTTAGCAAAATTGGAATCAATGGGTATCAGGCGGAAAACTCTCCGGTGGTTAGAGTCATGCCTGACACATAGGAAGATGGTCGTGGTTGTTGGAGGTCAGTCATCTCTGCTCCAGGATGTCTTTGCAGGAGTTCCTCAGGGTAGTGTCTCGGCCCAACCATCTTCAGCTGCTTCATCAATGACCTTTCCTCCATCATAAGGTCAGAAGTGGGGATATTCGCCGATGATTGCACAATGTTCAGCACCATTCGATACTCCACTACTCCTCAAATACTGAAGCAGTCTGTGTCCAGTTGCAACAAGATCTGGACAATATCCAGGCTTGGGTTAACAAGTGGCAAGTAACATTCGCTCCATACAAATGCCAGGCTATGACCATCACCAACAAGAGACAATCTAACCACGGTCCCTAGACATTTAATGGTGTTACCATCACTGAATCCCCCACTATCAACATCCTGGGATTTATCATTGATCAGAAAATCAACTGGACTCACCATATAAATGCAGTGGCTACAAAAGCAAGTCAGAGACTAGGAATACAGCAGCAAGTAACTCACCTCCTGAGTCCCCAAAGCCTGCCCACCATCCACAGGGCAAAAGTCAGGAGTGTGATGGAACACTCCCCACTTGCCTGGATGAGTGCAGCCCCAAAAACACTCAAAAGCTTGACACCATTCAGGACAAAGCAGCCCGCTTGATTGGCACTGCATCCACAAACATCCATTCCCTCCACCACCAACGCTCAGTAACAACAGTGTGTACTATCTGCAAGATGCACTGCAGAAATTCACCACAGATCCTCAGACAGCACCTTCCAAACCACTGACCACTTCCATCTAGAAGGACAAGGGCAGCAGATATATGGGAACACCACCACCTTCAAGTTCCCCTCCAAGCCACTCACTACTCTGTCTTGGAAATATATTGCCCTTCCTTCACAGTCGCTGGGTCAAAATCCTGGAATTCCCTCCCTAATGGCATTGTGGGTCAACCCACAGCAGGTGGACTGCAGTGGTTCAAGCAGGCAGCTCACCACCACCTTCTGAAGGGCAACTAAGGACGGGCAATAAATGTTGGCCAGGCAGCAATGCCCTCATCCAAAAAATGAATAAATTTTTTAAAAAACTATGCACAACAGCCCTCTAAGAACGCCCAGGACGAATGTAGCACAGAATCAGATATTGAGTAAAGTCCCCTCTACACTGTCCCATCAGACTCTCGCAAAACAGGTCTAGCACAGGGTGAGGTACAGTGTAAAGGTCCCTCTAGACAGTTACAAACACTCCAAGAGCAGGTGCAGCATGGAGTTAGATACAGAGTAAAGTTCCCTCCACATTGTCCCCAGCCACTCTTAGGACAGGTATAGCATGAGGTTAAATGCAGTAAAGCTCCCCCTACACTGTCCCCAAACATTCCAAGGACAGGTACAGCACAGGGCTAGGTACAGAGTAAATCTCCCTCTACACTGTCAGCATCAAATTCTTGCAGGTCAGAAACAGCAAAGGAGAGCATAGACAAACAGGATGATATGAGGGTGGATTTCAGACAACCAATGGCAAAAACCTGGAGGTAGTTCATTTGATATTATGAAACTTGCAGGAATAATGGGTTTAATAAGAGGGAGGCAATGGCCCAGTGGTATTATCACTGGACTGTCAATCCAGAGACCCAGATAATGTTCTGGGGACCTGAGTTCAAACCCTGCCACGGCAGATGGTGGAATTTGAATTCAATAAAATATCTGGAATTAAGAATCTAATGATGACCATGAACCCATTTGTCAATTGGTGGATAAACCTATCTGGTTCACTAATGTCCTTTAGGGAAGGAAACTGCCATCTTTACCTGGTCTGGCCTACGTGTGGCTCCGGGCACACAGCAATATGGTAGACTCTGAACTTCCCTCTGGGCAATTAGGGATAGGCAATAAATGCTGCTTGGTCAGCAACGCCCTCATCCCATGAATGAATAAAGGAGAAAAAATAGTCCAACCAGATTTACCATCTGTAGAAGAGCCGGGGAGCTCACCAACACTCACCAAGAAATCTCCATCCAGCACTTTTTCTTTAGTTGGTTTAGAAGACTTGTCAGATTGTCGGGCTGTGTCCACGGGGGCTGACTGTGGATCCAAGCTTTGAACTAGCTTTGGACCAATTACAACATGAAAAGCCTTCTCCTTAGTGCTTTTCTGAGCCTTCACCCAGTGTCCAGCACCTGTAAACAAAGCACAAAACAAAGGCTGTGTGTAAGGTTGCAAGACTATCCCCTGCCACTGAGAATGATGTTACATAATATAATCTCAGCATCCTCTCACAGCATTTATCTAGAGAAACAATCCACTTTAATGGGATAAAGGACATAGTTTGCCATAGTTTCAGTCAAGAGTGTGATTCTGTTTAAATCATAGAATCACTACACTGTGGAAAGTGGCCATTTGGCCCATTGAGTCTGTACCAACCTTCTGAAAAGCATCCCACCAAGACCCAGCACCCCCCACCCTATCCCCACATTTCCTATGGTTGATCCACCTAGCCTGCACATCCTCGGACACTAGTGGGAAATTTAGCATGGCCAATCCACCTTTACCTGGACTGAGGGAAGAACCTGGAGCACCCAGAGGAAACCCACGCAGACATGGGGAGAACCTGCAAACTCCACACAGACAGTCACCCAAGGCTGGAATCAAACCTGAGTCCCTGGCTAGTGAGACAGCAGTCCTAACCACTGAGCCACTGTGCTAAAGTCAAATTGTTTTTGATTAAGTTGATGATTCTTTGGACTAAATACCAAGAGAGGGTTAGTGAGGTTAGTTCAATTGATGTTGTGCAAATTGGTTTTCAAATGATGTTGCATAAGGTACCACATGATAGACTTATTCGTAAAATTAAAGTCATGGGATTTAACGGACAATGACAGCATGGGTATTAAATTGACTAAGAGTTGTGGGAAACTTATTTTAAATTTTAAAAGTGCACATTCAAATAAATCAGACTTAGGTGTTCTGTATGAATTTTGTTTTCTTTATTCATTCACGGGATGAGGGCATTGCTGGCTAGGCAGCATTTATTGTCCATCTCTAATTGGCCAGAGGGCAGTTAAGAGTCAACCACATTGCTGTGGATCTGGAGTCACATGTAGGCCAGACCAGCTAAGGATGGCAGTTTCTTTCCCTAAAGGACATTAGTGAACCAGATGGATTTTTCCCAACAATCAACAATGGATTCACAGTCATCATTAGAGTCTTAACTCTAAATGTTTTATTGAATTCAAATTCCACCATCTGCCATGGCAGGTATTGAACCCATGTCCCCAGAACATTATCTGAATCTCTGGATTAACAGTCCAACAATAATACCACCAGGCCATCGCCTCCCCTAGAAGTGGTGGATGAGAATAAGGACATGCCTGAATCCTGTGGCCATGGAAGAGTAATATTTGATTTGATTAGATTAGATTTATTATTGTCACATGTACCTTGGTACAGTGAAAAGTTTTGTTTTGCATTCAGTACAGGTAGATCACACGATACAAAGTGCATAACGGTAATAGAACAGAGCAAGGAATACAATGTTATGACTGCAGAGAAGATGCACAAAGAATGAGGTCAACATTAAATTTGAAATTTGAGAGGTCCGTTCAGAAGCTGTTCTTGAATGTGTTGGTATGTGTGTTTAAGTGTTTGTATCTTCTGTCTGATGGAAGTGTTGGAGTAGATTATAGCTGGGCTGGGAAAGGTCTTTGATTATGTTGGCTGTCTTTCTGATGCAGCGAGAAGTATAGATAGAGTCAATAGATGGAAGGTTGGCTTGCGTGGTTGACTGACTTGTGTTCATAACTTTTTTGTTATCCAGATGTTCCAGGAATGAGTGTAGGGCCAAGGAGAATGTGTATGCCATGGACCTGTTGTGACGGTAGGTGAATTGCAAGGGATCAAGGCAGGCTGGGATGCTAGAATTGATATGAGCCATGACTAACCTCTTAAAGCACTTCATAATTATGGAGGTCAGAGCCTTTGTCATCCTAGTCACTGAGGCATGCTGCATAGTTTTCTTTGATACTGGAATGATGATGGTCTTCTTGAAGCAGGTGGGGACTTCAGATAATAGTAAGGAGAGGTTAAAGCTGTCAACGAATACTCCCACCAGCTGGTGCACGCTGCATCTGAGTGCATGGCTGGGAACTCCACCTGGGCCAGTCCACTTGAGAGTTTTTTCATGGGATCCTGCCATATCAATATTATCATGCGCTTTGAAGATCAATAAACTACTGAACGTTTAATTGTAAATGCACCCAAACTAATGACCATTAAATCAAATGGACAAAACTAATTGTAAAAGATGTTATCATCACCATTAGCTTTACCCATTTGAAATTGCCAACTAAGTGATAGCAAATCAAATATTCTTTTATGTAGTGTTGGATTTACTTACCCCACTCATTGCCTCATATTTCAGTTGTGTTGAGAATGCATAGAGAAGGATTTCAAAGATCACATGTGGAAGGACATTCCTCTGCATACCTCACAGAGACTCCAACCATCTCCCCTTGATATACATTGGCATTCCCTTTGCTGAGTCCCTACTATCAACACCCTCATCATTGACCAGACACTGAAGTGGACCAGCCAAATAAATACAGTAGTTACCAAAGCAGAGGCTCAGAATATTGTGGTGAGTAACTCACCTCCTAACTTCTCAACGCTTGTCCATGATCTACAAGGCACAATTCAGTTTGATGGAATACTCTCCTTTTGTCTGGATGAATACAGGTCCAGCAACACTCAAGAAGTTTGACACTATCCAGATGAAGCAGCCCACTTGATTGGCACCCTGTTCACCAACTTCAACATTCAACTCCTTTACCATTAACATGAAGTGGCAGTACCATTTACAAGATGGACTGCAACAATTCACTATAGCTCCTTCAACTGTACTTTCCAAAGCCATGACCTTCACCATCCAGTAGGACAAGGGCTGCAGATGCAATGGGATCACTACATCAATTGCAGGTTCCCCTCCTAGTCATTTACTGGCTCGACTTATAAGTATATCATTGCTCCTTAATTTGCACTGGGTGAAAATTCTGAAACTCCTTCCCGAACAGCACTTGGATCTTCCTACACCAAATGGACTGCAGCAGTTCAAAGACAGAGCTTACCATCACTTTCTCGGGGCAATCAGGGATGGGTAATAAATGCTGACCCACCTACCGTGAAAGAATAAAAAAAATGTTCCTTATCTGTTGTATTATTCCATTACGCTACAAAGGACCTAAGTAGAGAATGAAAATGTAGGGATTGTTCTCCATTTGGCAGAGAGGGTTAGAAAGAAATTCAATAACACCTCAATTACATTAGAATCATACAATCCCTACAGTGTGGGAACAGGCCATTCAGCGCATCAAGTCCACACTGATCCTCCAAAGATCCCACCCAATCCCTGTATTTCCCATGGCCAATCCACCCAGCCTGCACATCTCTGGATGCTATGTGCAATTTAGCATGGCCAATCCACTTAACCTGCACATCTTTGGACTGTGGGAGGAAACCAGAACACTCGGAGGAAACCCACACAGACTTGGGGAAAATTTGAAAACTCCACACAGAGGGGGCTGGGATTGGATCCAAGTCCCTGGCGCTGAGGCAGCAGTGGGAACCACTGAGCCACTGGGTTGCCCTTATTATTTTTGTATTAAAGTAATGAAGTGTTTTGATAAAATTAGTTAGGTACTCAGAGGACAAAGATTTAAGGTCAGAGGGATGATGAGCAGTTGTTCTGACCAGAAGTGCACTGTCTGAAGGGGTGGTAGAAGGTGATTCAACAGAAACTTTCAAAAGACAATTAGGTAATTATGTGGAAAGGAAACATGTGGAGGGCTATGGGGAATGGGACTATTTGGGTACCTTTTTCAAAGAACAGACAAAGCCATCTGTGACAAATGGTCTCCCTCTGTGCTACAAGATATTATCAAAACTGTTTTACAATTTTAATTTGCTATTTTTGTTTATTAATACCATTTGTTTATATTTTAAAATACGGATTTGCCTCAAATGGTGGATGTTGGAAGTGTGCTGTGGTGGAGTGAGAGTTAGCACCATGGACAACTCTAAAATACCAAGGAGATGCTTGCAGATACACAAGGATGGACTTTTTTGAAAAACTCTTTCCTGGGTTCACCTTAGTAAGTATCTTCCAAGTATGAAAAGAAAAAAAGTGCTTACTTTGATATCCTCCCTTGAAGATCTTCCTTATTGGAAAGCAATCCATTGAGACACTCTTGCCGTCATCCAACTTATATTGGTTTTGCAACATAATTACTGAAAAACAACAGAAAAATTAGAAGAGCATCGGATGCCTAAAATGCAGCCAGTGCTCACTGAACTGGCACCATTTTGGTCCAGTTCGGCTTCAGTAGCTGAGAGAATATACCTTTCTTGTTCTTAGTTTTCTCCCATCATGTGAAAGGTGAGTCCTTATGAGCTATGGGAACCACAGATACAGGCAGACATCAGATTTTTTTTCTCTGCTCATTCACGGGATGAGTGCATCACTGGCTAGCCAGCATTTATTGCCCATCCCTAACTGCCCACAGGGCAGTTAAGAGTCAACCACATTGTTGTGGGTCTGGAGTCACATGTAGGCCAGACCAGGTAAGGATGGCAGTTTCCTTCCCGAAAGGACATTAGTGAACCAGATGGATTATTCCAACAATCGACAATGGGTTCACAGTCCATAGACTCTTAATTCTAGTCATTCATTGAATTCAAATTCCACCATCTGCTGTGGCGGGATTCAAACCCAGGGCCCCAGAACGTTACCTGGATCTCTTGTCCAGCGATAATACCACTAGGCCATCGCCTCCCCACAGCCATTATCTACATATAAGGCTGAACTGTGAGTACAGATGGGCAGACAACTATAAGGACCTTCAGCATTGAACCAAATCTTTCCTCATCCAAACTTCATACATGTTCACTTCCCAGAAGCAGAAACAACTAGATGTTGTTCAAGAGAGAGAATTCCGATTGATTTGGCTACAAAGACAGGGATGCTGAGGCCACTCTTAGACACCTAATTGCTGAGGTCAGTTAACATACAGCAAGAATCAAAGTGGGGATCTCCTGCTTTGTATGGCTAGGTTTGTTAATTAGATAGTGCTTTACCAAATGACTAAGTGAGAAGGTCCTGGGTTCACATCTCATTTAAAAATACAGGGTAGATATCACAAGATTGTTTGACTGTTATGGAAATCTAAGTCACTGCAGTATTTACGCATCAGTAAATATTTGAAACTCTGCACCAATCATAATGTCTCCGAACCTCTGGGATGATCTGAAGATTATGTCTTATGGACCAGAAGAGAAATCCTCGAAACACAGTAAGGAGATAGCCTACACCCTAACTTTTATATTTATTTAAAGGCAAATATAAGGTATAGTGTTCCACACATAATTTGATGGGTTCACCACTGGGCTTTAAGCAAAACATACTTTATTCTTACAACACAGTTAAAATACAAAAGAAAAGAATTAGCATAACCTTAACTCTATTGAAATACTCAACAAGATCATGTACTATTTAACCACTAATCATTAACTGTTCCAATATAGGCAAGCATCCCACAAACACACCCTTTTGGCAAAAATGCAATTCAGCAAAACAGTTCTGGTTCTCACCTCTTTTGATTTTTAAGAGGAAGCTTTGCTGTCTAAGACCCCAGCAGCAGGGAACTCAAAGCTTTTAGCTCAGCAGCCGGCAGACCTTCAACTAACTAAAAGCAAAGCTAAAACTATCCTGGGTCTGTGTGAGCCCTGACCCCACCCACCTCTGATACTTTCATTTTAAAAAACACCCTGGAAGAACTCACAAGCTGTTTACCAACTGTTTGTGTGAAGGAGACATTCCAGTACCACTATGGCAAAACGTCTCTGCAAGAGAAACAGGGCAGAGTGCATCGCTCTTAAAGGCACAGTATCATCATACATAAACCTGGGATCCTTTATTCCACTGGCATCAGGTCTGTATAAATATGGAGGAAAATTAAGGTTAAACCAGGAAGATGAAGTATTCACATGGAATTAACCCTACGGTGCTCATAACTGGTTGAGAAAATCCTCTGGCTATCTCTACTTCTCTCCATGAGGCCTCTTTATCTCTTTTCCTCCAGATACGGTCGACTTAACTGCTTCAGCTCCTCTGTTCAGTTGTCCCCAACATCAGCACATGTTGCTGGAGGCCTCGGGAGGATGCAGTGGAAAAGTGAAGATGTGGGGGCAGGGAGGCCCGGTAGGCTGTTGCACACGTGCAGGAAAGAAATGCAGTTTTGAGACGGGGAGAGCGGGAAGAGAACTTTGAGGAGAGTAAGGACATGGGATGGGGAGAGAGGCCCGAGAAGACCTCCCCCCCCCGCCTCCCTCCCCACCCCATTCACAGTGGAACCAAATTTAATGGTGAATTCAAATTTCACCATCTACCATTGGGGATTCAAACCTGGGTCTACAGAATATTACCTGGGTTTCTGGATTAACAGCATAGCAAAAATACCACTAGGCCATCATCTCCCCTCCACATTTCTGAAACAGGTATTTGCATTAACTGAATTTATATTCCACCAGCTACTGTGGTGGTATTTGAATCAATGACACCGGAACATTAATGTTTGTCCTTTTCCTGATAGCCTTATATATTCTTCCTGTTCAATTAATAATCCAGTTCCCTCTTTTACATTCAATTTAATTCACCTCCACATACTCTCAGGCAGTGCCCTCTTTCTATCAAAATAAATCACTTCAGCATTTCTCTGCATTAAAACTTCACCTGACACCTGTCCACTCACTCCAGCAACCTGTCTATGTCCTTGTGAAGTTCTCCTCAAATGCTCCTCATAATTCACTATCAAATGTTTAACTGACTTCATTTTGAAAATGTGCCCTGTACACCAAGGCCTAGGTCATTAATATCCATCAGGATATCAGAGCTGCAGTCTAATACCAATCCCTAAAGAACTCCACTTTAAACCTTTCTCCATCTCATAAAGATTTATTGACCATTACTCTCCGTTTCTGTTACTTAGCCAATTTCATATCAATGTTGGTATTCTCCCTTTTATAACCTAAACACTAACTTTCCTGACAAGATTGTGTGCAGCACGTTGGAAGTCAATGCACTACACATCAGCAGCAGGCCCTGCCCAACCCTGTCTGTTACCACAATAAAAAAAACTCCTTCATGTTAGTTAAACACAAATTGTCCTTAACAAATCTACAGTGACCTGTAGTTGCTGAGTGGATCTTTATACCCATTTCAAACATTTGCAATTCTCCAGTCCTCTGGCACCAGCTAAGTCTAAGAAAGATTGCAAAGTTATAGCTAGTGCCTCGGCAATGTCCACATCATGGTTCCTTCATTTGCATCTCCTCAAATCCTGGTGCCTCTAAAGCCAAGCAATCTATTCAATACCTCTTCCTTTGCGATTTGAAACCCTTTTATAAAGTGGCAGAGATCAACCAAATTAACCTAACTTAAACCGCAACCATTACAAGGTAGCATTTACACTTGCTCTGTCACAGCACGTTATTGTGACGTCTGTGTTACTGAGATATATCTGCCTAGCTTACCAAGGACACCTGAAGCATCATGACATTTTTGCTTGAGAAATATAGTCCGCACTACAATTTTTAAAGTTTAAGAATTGAAAAGTCAGGAGTTCCAGGGAGTGAAATATTCCCTCAAGTCTCTAATTCCATGTCTGCCTCTTGGTCTCCCGCCTCTCCTCAATCCCATGTCAAACTCAGCAGAGAAGTAGGAAAAGAAGATGAAATATCAAAGCCAGAAGAAGTCCACCCACCAGTTCAAGACTGAATGGACAATTAAATATCAATGTATTCAGCCTGTTCCAGAATGCTGCCAGGACTTTTACTGCACAATATGTGAGGTCTACTTGAGCTGTGCCAGACACGGGGAGAAAGACATCATAAGGCATTTGCGCACTCAGAATCACTGCAAGAGAGCTGAGAAACTGAATCCAGTCTACAGGAGAAAGGATCCGATTCAACTCCTGTTTGCTGGACTCAGCAAACAATTCAAAGTGTTTCTCAAAAAGGTAATGCATGTATATTCAAAGTGGAGTAGGGAGAACTATGGCTCCCAGTAGTTATGGGTTGTCATCCCGAAAATGCATCCTCCCTTGCTTTTCAAAGATTCACAGATCATTACCTCACCCAAAAAAGCAGTCACCTCATGGTCATGTAGTGGGGATTTTTTTGCTGCTGATTGAAAGGCTATTGCATTTGCTTGTACAATGGCAACCAAAGTACTTCAAATTAATTCAGTGTAATGTATAGAGATGTTGCAGAGAGATGTGATCAAAATGTGAAGCAGTTCTACCCTTACTAATCTTTCTCCTTCTTGAGTTCTTCTCCCAGGGACAGGTCCAACCCACAGTACCACAACCTCCATCATGGGTAGGACAAGGAAGAAGCCCTGAATCTACCCCAGCTTGAATGTGCATCAAACTCTGTGATGCTTATATTGATCTGATTCACGTCCCTATTCCAGCCATCCAACATACCATCCATCCCCTTGGAGTCAGAGTTCCCGTGGGAATGTACACTTTTAAATGCATGTTGTAATCTGGAGCCATGAATAATAATGGCAGAAACTCCAAATATTTTTTCCATTAATGCTTTGCACCAGTCTTCACTAACAGCATTCCAAAATTACTAAATAATCAAGGGGCAAAAAGAAAGAGTAAATAAATACAATAACAATCATTAGAGAAAAAGTGTTACGGAAAGTACTGGGACTAAAGACCAACAAGTCACCTTTACCTGATGGAATACATCTGAGGAAAATAAATGAAGTAGCTTACGTGATAGTAGATGCACTGGCAGTAATTTTCCAAGAATCCTTAGATTCTGGAAAACTTCCACATTTTTGAGAAAACTGCCAATGTAACATCTTTATTTACGAAGGGAAGGAGATAAAAAGCTGTTAGCTTAAAATGTTATTGAGAAACATTACAGTCTATGATGAAAGATATAATAGCATTTAAAAATACATATTATGATCAAGCAGAGTCAGCATGGTTTCACGAAGGGGAAATCATGCCTGACAAATTGATTAGAATTCTTTGAAAAGGTAATAAGCAGGATGGATAAAGGGGAAGAGCTGGATGAACACAGCAGGCCAAGCAGCATCAGAGGA